GCTTAGTCTGCATGGCTTGCTGGCCTTCGGCGTACTTGTGGTGAGTGAGTCTAGATTTTGTTTTGTGCCAGGACCGTACCTTCCTGTCAATTGTGTGATATGAAAACAAGTGATATTTGTTTGAATTTAAGAACCCGGGCGTTGGCTGAAACTTTTGTACAATCACTTCACTGTTGTGACTGTCTTCTCGGCAGATGGGCTGTTTACTTTGACGCTTATATATATTCATCATCCACACACTGCCAAGTGCTTCTAATCCTACGGATGAGGTCCTAGTGCTTCTAGAACGGGGGGTTGGTTTGCCCTCTGCTTTTGCTAAAATCGTGGTGCCAACTAAGTATCACTTTTGCTGTCATCCGTAGAGAATAGAGTACTGCGTTTTGATCCATTTTACTTATGTCAGAGGTGCCTCGGAGGCTTTTTGCAGATCTTCGAAGTCTTTCATGGTTCAACTATTAGTACTTTCGAGGCATTGCGCATTTTCCTTGGAGATATTAGATCATTGATTTTGAGGCATGCATTTATTTCTTAGTAAAGTTCGCCCCTTCTTGATAAATCGACTATCTACTCTTCGTAAGCTAAGTTGGTTCGGCACTGCATTACGCACACCATAGGTCCAAATGTCTTTCAGAACTTTCTTTGTTCAATAACTACCGAATAAGGGTAACCCTGAACAAACCATGCACTGCCTTGAAAACCTTCGTCGGCTCACTCATTGACAATGGTAATTGCCGTTTGCCCGGATTGGAGCCCCAGGAAGAGACAAGCTCTTGGTTGTCAGACACGACTGGCACAGTGGTAAGTAGAATACATACAGACACCCACAATGTGCTCGTCGGCTTTTTAGCGTAGGTTGGCCTATTTTACGGAACGAAATATAAAGTGAGTTTGTGGCTGTCTTGAAGCCGATGACGGCCCAGCATACATGCTGTTACCCCTTTGTGGCTGTACCACACCCAACAGTAACTACTAAATATAGCATAATGCTAAAACCCGGTAAGGAAAACATTTGTGTTGTCGTTATACTGGTCGAGGCTTATAAAGCGCTCTCTGGTATTATTTTGCCAAACTACTCTTCCGTCGGTAAGATCAAACCCAACAGAATTAGGATGGTTTCGAGCATCTAATGTTCACGCCGATCATGTCTTCACGCTATGAACAGCAGCTGGAACTGCGCCGTTTTCTCATCGAACAAAAATGGCCATTTTATTTTATCTGAAGATTTGGCTAGGCCCAGCGACGTATTTGCAAGATTTCATCGGGCGCTGTTGGGGGCAGTAAAAGCGCGTTGTTCTGGGTCGGTATTTATGCGCCGAGCAGTGTTGTGGGCTTGTCAACACGCGTGCTGTCGAGCAAGGCCAACCTTTGATCACATTTAGTTGTTCGTTTAGGTGGATCCATGGGTTTCGCCCTTCACCAATTTCCCGATCAACCAATAACCAGGTGAGCGTCGCGCTTGGCCTCCCCTACTCTTGCATTCTGAGAGGTGCTGTAGTTACCTCTATGACTTCTCCTGGTTCTATTCAGCGACCTTTGTTTATCCGACTTCAGGGCGTTTCTTGCTTCTTGGTTCGTGAATCCGATATTCAGCTCTCTGAGTATATCGATCTTTAGCACTCACTGGTGCGCAAATCGGACCTGGTCCAGCGCGTGAGTTGATTGAATCCGTCGCGGCTACCTGTACTCGCTGAAAACTTCAAGATGCTTCTTCAGTTGTCTAAAGTCATCCCTCCTTCTCACGCAATTTCAAACGTCAAGTGGGGTTAAGGCGTTCGCCTCTCCCGAACAAAAACATAGGAGGTTGCCTGAAGAGTGCAAATGTGCACAAGATTTTTGCAATTTGTGCAAGGTGCTGTATCTAGCGCACCAGATACCCCGAAGCTAAAACTTTCGATCGTGTAACGTTTAGGGAAATATCTGAAATTCCTAAAGCAGAATCCCGGGTGTCCGATCGCCGCCTTGAGTCGTTTTCCGCACCATCATATGACTTGCTAACTGGTTGAAATTCTTGAGCTTATCATGCAGCAGTTAGATTTCTAAAGAACGTTAAGTTTATTTCTACCCATTTTATGTTTAGAAAAACTGCCAGATTATTTCTTGGTTTTGCGACCCATTTTGTCCGCTTGGGTCATGCCATGACATTTGAGAGTTCCGTCAATAGGGTGTACACGATTAATGCGTCAGTAACTCGTTGGACACGCATTATACACACACAGTCATCGATGGATCCCAAAATGGCATTCACCTCGCGTAGTCTCATTGAAATACAAGAACGGGGTAAATTCGTTCGTCATCGCGACTAACTTCAGAAAGTTGCCATAGTTATATCTAAACGTAGAAAGTAAACATATATTTCCAACTTTTACTTTCCTGACCGGTGCTAATCATGCGTGGTAAAAGGAGACAATCCACGTTGTGTTAAACTTAGAAAAACTTGCGACACTTGTCCAAGAAGGGTGGCAGAAAATGGTTCCTTCTGAAGGGTACATCTAAGTAAGGAGACCAACCCATCTGATATAGGGCATATCATGGATGCGTAAGCTGCATTTTGTACGGTGACGGAAACTGTTCGAAGTACCCGATTCACTTTGGTCCACTAACGTTGAAGCAGATAGCACCTGACTGCTTATATCTGGTTCTGCCTCGGATTCGCCATCATGCCTGCCGTCATTTATTCGTCCAAGTCTCTGGCTTGCATCACGCGCATCAGTCTCTGCCAACGTCAGACTTAGGTTTACTCCAAACGAATGCGCTAGAGTTGTTTTCAGGTGTGAGTTTGCAATGGACGCAGCGATATGCTGATCACTGATTTGACTATGGTCTAGTTCATCATTAAAACTAAAGGAATATTCTGAAATGGGCACTAGAAAATGTTATCTAAACGAAGAACAGAGGAACCCGTGTCCGGACGACTATGAGTGAGTCGGTCTGCCTCCTCCGGCCCCAATACCCACTTGAACGGGGGCAGCCGGGAGTCGCCGTACTTCCCTTTTCAGAAACTGCCCGTTTCCACTACGGACGCTCTGTGCGGTTTTGATCCCAATCTTCCAGAAAATACGGCGGTTGGTCCGTTACCAAAATTAACACCTAGGAGGGCGAAAGCCATGTGAAGGAGTTTACTTCAAATTTAAGGCTGGGGGGATGTGGGGGTCTCAGGACTATTGGGCCTCTATAGGGCGGACGCAGAACCAGTTATCTGCACCCCAAGTTACCAATGAACTAGGAGCCAGTTGGCAATTACCTGATATTGCTCATCTTCTACAAAGCGTCTACCCTCAACTCAAGACCCCACCCAACGTTGGCCGACAAAAGTTGGTCTGCAGCGAGCAATCATCGATATGGTGTGGTCTGGAAATTCATGTTTATGAGGCTGGAGTAGGCGACGTGAGAGTTTCTTACATTTGAACCCACACTAAGAATTTTCCAGGTTAACTTCGGATGTCGGTTTCGCGCGATGGTCAGCATTATCGAGCATATTTTCCCCTTAAGCCCTCACCGCATATTCCACAATTTACTCCGAAATCAGCTAGAATACCACAGATGGCTTCAAATGTTCACATCTAAAAGAACGCACACTTATTGCAACGAAAACCCGGCTATTTGAACTGCATGAAGATGGAGACCATAATCAAGGGCAGGATATAATTGGAAAATGGAAGGCCAAAAGGCCTTTGATATCATTCACCCGTTGCCTCCCATCGCAATAAAATTGTGGAATTTTCGCTGAATACTCCCCGGTTGGTACGCGTAACTCGCCACTTCTCTTAGTGCAGGAGTGAAAAAAATAACAGGTGATACACGGACATCAGATTGGCCCACCTGAAACCTGACACTGCCACAAATTCAAGGCCCCGTTTCGCGTCTTCTGGACAAATTGGGCGTCAATGTTACACCGTGTCACGTTAGTAACAAGCCAAGAAGATACCTCCGGTAGCACGCTTTCATGACCTATCAAATGGTGACTACATAATGCCACTTTTTTATCTTCCTTTCAGGCTCTAACAGGTTAGGTAGCTAGATTCGTTTGCAGCCGAGAAAAATCTCTTTCACTTTCTTACGTGTGGATCCAGGGTATTTCGATTAGTCAAATTATTTACCGCTCAAAAACATCCGTCTGCCTTCATGCTGTTGTGTGATATTGGATGCTTGATTTCCATAATGAGAATCTGTCTCAGAGATTAAGTGAGGTTCTGAACGCTCCCCTCCCTTGCCGGTCATCCACCCTGACATGCACATGCTGCTATGTACATATGTTCTTGAAGGCATGCTCCATAGGCGGTTTCAGAGTGCTGAGACTCCCCTCACCCATTAATGACAGGTGCAACAACATAAGATTGACACAACACATGTTCACCTGAATCTTCCCAGCCTTTGTTTCAAGGTAGCTCCAAACGCACGTTTCATCTCAGAAGTCGGTTACAGTACGGTGGTGTTTGTCTGTGAGGTTTTATATTACTGGGAAGAAACCAACGGGTATCGAAAAAATCGGACAAACCGACAATTCCTTCAGCACAGCGGCCTACATGAAAACCGATGATCCTGCATGGTTGGCATGCAAGCTGCCGATAAGCTTTTTGGAAAAGCGTTTGTCTGGTTTGCTTCACCGGTTATTCTTCCTTTGAACGAGGAAGCAGATAATCTGTAGTTTTTAGTGAATACGCCGCGCAGTGTAACGTGAATATCACGACAGAGCATGAAAAAAATAACGTAGCATGGTGGAATCGGAACGAAAGTAGGAAATAACCGAGAGAAATCTTCAGCCGAAAGATGGAAAGTTAGAAGACAGGAAAGTTCACACATTGATCATCTGCTTTAAGTGTGTTTCTTCTGTCTTAAATCCGTCTGTCATACCGTAGACGGATCTTTGCCAATTAATGTGATACCACACATCATTAATCTTGTTCAGATCATTTGCTTGCGTTTTGATTTTGAACTTTGCCGAGGCGGGAACAGAGCAGGCGCGCTTTTTGAATTTTGGACAGGCACGGTCATTCTCCGCAATGTCTGTGGACGTGGGCTTGTTAGCAGTGTTGGAGAAGAGCGTATCACCAGGTTAGTGTTGTTTTCATGTGTTATTCTTTGCGCAACAATGAACGTTCCATAACATTTTCTCTGTATAGTTCAACAGGAATTGGAAGCTGCACAGCATTTCCTCGAGAAGGCTGCGGAGGCAGATCTCGTCGGATTGTTGCGACAGCTGAGTGATGTTCTATGCAACGCAGAATGGGCTTGTTACAGTGTTGGAGAAGAGCGTATCACCAGGTTAGTGTTGTTTTCATGTGTTATTCTTTGCGCAACAATGAACGTTCCATAACATTTTCTCTGTATAGTTCAACAGGAATTGGAAGCTGCACAGCATTTCCTCGAGAAGGCTGCGGAGGCAGATCTCGTCGGATTGTTGCGACAGCTGAGTGATGTTCTATGCAACGCAGAATGTTCTCCGGTGGTTCGGATGCAGGCTGGTCTCCAGCTTAAAAATGCGTTATATTCCAAAGATGCCGACATAAAATCCGTGTATCAGCAGAGGTGGCTACAGTTAACGCCGGATGCACGTCAATACATAAAGAAAAACGTAATTTCAGTTGATTTTTTTCGATGTATTTTAGTGTCTGGCTGCTCTTGGGACAGAAACCACTGCACACAGTTCTGCGGCTCAATGTGTTGCCTACATTGCTTGCGCAGAACTCCCAGCCATGCAGTGGCCTGATTTAATGAATCACTTAGTTGAGAATGTGGTGACAGCCAGAAGCTCAGAAGCTTGCAAGCATGCAACTCTCGAAACGATTGGATATATTTGCCAAGACATAGTACGTCTTTTGCCCATTGTTTTTTCTCACTTCCAGGATCCCAATATATTAGTGAGTCAGTCAAACGCAATTCTGACAGCTATCGTGTGTGGAATGAAGAAAGAAGAGCCAAGGTTTGATGCTTGTTTTCTTTTGTTCACTTTCTAGTGATAATGTTCGCTTGGCTGCAACAAATGCCCTCCTCAACTCCTTAGAGTTTACTAAGCATAACTTTGACGTCGATGTAGGTCAAGCAATTTAGCTAATTGTAATCTGTAGAATGAACGAAACTACATTATGCAAGTTGTTTGTGAGTCTACGCAATCGCCCCATCCGCAAATCCGGGTTGCGGCACTCCAATGTCTTGTGAAAATAATGTCGCTATATTATGGATACATGGAAACCTACATGAAGCAAGCCTTGTTCGCAGTAAGTTTGTGTGCGTCATCCCTATAAACATTGTATAACCCGAATTTCGCTGTTTTANAAAGACCAACGAGTTTTTTGTTCCAGCGACCTTCACCTACTTGGGCAAAGCGGTGGTGGCTGTGCTTTGGGTTTATCACTACAGCGCGAAATTATCTCAAGGAATGTTAAGCAGGTTACTTGCTGCTGGAAGTTCTTCGTGGCTACTAGTTTTTCTACTGGAAGGAAGAATTCTGTAGTTAGTTCGGCTGACCTCGAAATTGCTGTTTTTCAAGTGTTTAGAGTCCACTCGGACTAGTTCAAGAACGGAGGTTGCTGAGGGAAGTTCTCACAAGACTTCCTGTTGGTCGGATTGAGCTCAACATTTGGGGGAATTTTTTGGCTTTCAGAGCGTTTACGCCATGCTCTCGGAGCTGAGTTTTACGCGAACCATAACAGATGTAAACGGACTAGGCCCTGAGGTCCGCACATTGATTTGACCAAATTTTTTGAAGCACTGATTCGATGTTAATGACAGTTTCTGGGCTTTCTTCCGAAACCCACTTTACGAGCTCATTGTGATGTCTTCAAATGAATTGTCGGAACCTGCATATCATTACTGGACGCTGTACTGTCGAATTTCTTCCGAAGAGTGGTTACGACTTGATGACTTCCTTTCTGGGCTCCGAAACCCACTTTACGAGCTCATTGTGATGTCTTCAAATGAATTGTCGGAACCTGCATATCATTACTGGACGCTGTACTGTCGAATTTCTTCCGAAGAGTGGTTACGACTTGATGACTTCAATTAGAAAACTACCACGGCTGGGAGTTTGAGATCAATGGAGAATAGAGAATGGGAGAGCCACTCATGCTAAGGACTGGTGCTTTACTGCAATGCAACCATGTGATGCCATGTACGGCGATTCTTCAATGAACGTGATTCCTGTTAGTTTCGGTTTCCAGATCCATTCATTAGGTCCGGGCCTCTTAGAGATAATTGACACCACAAGAGCGATTCTTTCTGCGAGCTGAAAACAACTAAACCAATCGTCCTGACTGGGTTTGGGTGCCCTGACATGATCAAGGACCGCATTCAAACGTGACGTAAACGATTAAAATTGCGTTCCTGCAACACCGCCCGTAGCTTGTTGACTTCGGTTTGGCCGTCTTATTTGTTACATACGACAGAACGGGCAGGTTAGGACATGCAACTGGGTTTCAAAGGTCGAATGTATCGGGCCATATTAAGGGCTGTATTGTTGTACTGTAAGAAGACGACCTCTGTGGCCAGATGGCCTGAAGCGTCTTCATGTTTTTGACTACTGATGTTTTGGAAGCGTGGCTGATGTTGGATATTTTCGATGAGTTCGTAACGAGGTAATTAGAAAACGGTTCGCTTCGCAGCAGGTACTTCAGTGGAAAGCATCCAGCACCATCAACGGAGGTGGCTCAGCCATATGCTACGCATGCCGAAGCACCGTCTGCTGATACGAGTGTTCTGTGTGCCTTTTCCATAATGGTGCAGACCGCGAGGTGGGCAAAGTGCGACTCGGTAGAAGGGTGTGAAGGAGATCACGAGGGTTTAGTGTGTTGTTGGTGCCGTACGCATTCCAGGATGGGATCCTCGTGACCCCTCCTGCGCATGGCTGGGGACATTGCAAGGAAGGGCGGCTGGTTGAAATCTGAGGTGTTCCTGCTGTCAGTTTCTCCCCAGGTTACCTGGAGTTGTAGGTGCCTCAGAATGTCTTCATAGGCCAACACCAATTTCTCTCCCTCACCTACTTGTCTCACTCTAAGCCTTTCTAATATAATTAACTAAACTTTGTGGTTGTGCTGCAATGAAGCACCAGTGTCAACGCTGATGTTTCCCTCTCTGTTGACGATGACGTTGGTGGTGATAGTAAGGAACAGTCACCCCTGTCGTTGGCGCATCTACTTTCATGACGACGGGCGCAAATCGAAACACTAACTGTTATTTCTTTATGGTTTCTGCTCGTGTGCCAATCGACTGCAGCAGTGATTCCACTGAAGATACTGTGTTGAGAAACAACCTGCCTAATACCCACCACGAAGTGTCTGATTTTAGTCCTATTCACAGGAGATCTCAGTGTATAGATGGAGCGCCTCAGCTCATGCGGTGGCAAGTTTAGTTAGACCCAGGGCGGTTTTTCGTTACCTCAGTTGAGTCTATGACTCCATAGGCAGTTCACATCTGTACGTGCCTGGCCGGGGTTGGATGTCCCTAAAGTCTAAATATACTTCGTCTTACATATTCCGACACTTCTGGCTACGTAGGAATTCGGAACAGCCCTTGGAAGTGTAAAACCATGAATTCTGTAAGGTTACGCTGCACGGTACTGCATATTTTCATCTTTGATGTGATTATGGAATGCACACTCCAAGGGATCGAAGGTTTTGATATCGAAGTGACATGTAGTAGAAGACTGATGAACTTGGACTATGCAGGCCATATTCTCATATTATTTGGCGGCCATTTTTATGGTAGATCAAAGTGACGAAAGCGGCACGCGAAACTGTTCAGTGTAAGGGGGTGAGGACATTGCTACGCATGACCAATTGCCATCCACCAATAAAAGCAATTTGTTGGCTAAAGGCCAGCTTTAGATAGGTGATGAACTGGCAACACGAAATGAGAGCGGCTACCGTCACCTAAGTGCAGTGGGGTTTTCACGCCCTCTAGGTTAGATCCGCGTGATTCTCGTTGTATGTGGTTAGAAACCCTACAGAATAAGCATGTGCCCGGTCCCTGCGGTAAGCGTACTCTCACTTCATAGTCGGGCTACCTAGCTAAAAGTGTACCTGCCGTTGTACGATGTTTGGTTTCTATATCAATAAACGCCGTAACAGATCAACTCAGACTGATGTGTTGATTGGTTTGATTGGCAATTACTGAGACGTTTTTGTTCTCACAGGGATACAACTATCCAGATCCATGGAGTAAAGCTTAAGGCTATGTTTATGTGGTTGATTTGGTATGGTTATTTTCTTGACTTCAGTTCTGTTTTAGCATCATCTTCCTAGCCACCAAATGGAAATGATTTTCGGACTCAGCTGAATTATGTGGTTATGGACTAGATATGGAGAGCTTTACTTTATTGTGGCCATTCGCTCTGGGCCCATAAATCCAGACTATCGAATTATAGTACAGGTCCCAGCGTCAATTCGTTTCCATTCCGAGTGGAGTGGCGCGATGGCAAGTCAAGTACTGTCATCTCCAACAGGCTTTCGGACAACAGTATCGAGCTAAGCTATCCCAAATCTATCGGTAATAAAATGCAATCACAATATTATTCATTTGAATATAGACCGGCAGTGTGTGATCACATACCGCAGTATCGGTGGATAATTTTATGCATACTACCGGCTTGTTCTTAGAAGTTTCTTTTTCCAATTTCAGTCCCTGTAGTCCTATTCGGTGGCTGTCCTGTCTTCACCTTACATTTCTCCGTCTAACTCAATGGTAACAGTATCCCCGATGTGGTGACCTGACATTGAATATTCTGATAAGTAAATTGCTCCCGCTCGGATTCTTGTGTAGTAATATATGCGAAAGTCACCTTGGAATCAATTTAATAGTAACAGCGCCTGTGTGGCATCAGCTTTAAACTTGGTCGATCGTTGGAAAGGTCGTGGGAGTCAAGCTGGGTGAGTTGGCAACATCAGCAGCTCTGGCACAACACTATTACTTTCCTGATCTGAAGGCTGCATTTCTTTCCTTCATGGCCGGAAACCGTGTTTGTGTCCCGCCGCCCTATTCAGATTGTTATCTCCAATACTACTTTTGGATGCGTACAGGTACAGAAGAAAGCCCTGACCTGCTCCACCGCTTCCAAAGGTATCAAACAAGCTGCCTTCTTTTCTTCAGCTATTTACTGATGCGTCGCTTGAAACCCACACTGGGGATGAATGCGTCCACTCGCAGGTTTTACTTACACTTACGATGTTGATATACTTAGATGAGAACCTTCCGAAACCATTTTATTCAGCCCATCTAATTCAGCTTGGCAATTTAGCCTGCACTTGGCAATTACGAATTACAACAAGAATACCAAGACCACAAGACCATGTGCTTACTGACGAGGTGATCGAGTGTGGAGGAGATAGGGAGAGCATAACCTACCTTTGCAGCCGCATGTATTCCAGTTGACTTGCAGTAAATGTAACAGCGTAGTTTCGGGAATATCGTTCCACCTTTTGCCACCCTATCACATGCGTTGCAGGTTTATCTGGTGTTGATAGAATGTGCATTTTGAACGTCTTTTATTTCACGCTAATTACATCATCAGAGGTCTTCTCTAAACAATGGGAGGCAGTGACGACACATGGGAAGGCCTGAAGGTGGACAGCTTTAGGTTTACGGTAATGTAGTGGTTGCACAAAGTCGCAGTATGGTAGAAAATATCGAGCACTTGCTGATCATATTTGTGGTTCGTTGACAACACCTTACATGCTGTGTTTGACAGTGGACGACCACA